TTTTTTCTATATTTTTAATGAATTTTTATTAGTGGCTTTTTTTCGTTTTTTTTATTTTTGGTTTTCTATTTATTTTTTATTTTATTAATTTTCAAATTTATTTAGTTATTTTTTTATTTAATTTAATTTATTTCAATATAATTTAATTTAGTTTTCTCTATTTTACTTTATTTTATTTAATTTTATTCAACTTTATTCTATGTCAATTTGTGTTATATTATTTTAGTTCGTTTTTTAATATTTAATTTCATTTGATTTGATTTAATTTCATTTAATGTTTCATAATTTTATCATACATATTTTATCATATATATTTAATTTTTTTATATTTTATTTTGTTTATTTTGTCTTGTACTATTTCTTTTAATTTTATTCTATTTTTATTTTAACTTATTTTATTTTGTCCTGATTTATTTAACTTATTTGCTGTATTAAATTATTATATTATATTTTATTGTTGTATATTTAATTTAATTTAATTTTTATTTAACTTAATTTAATTTTTATATATTTTATTTTAATTTTCATTTTAATTTAGTTAATTAAATTTAACATGAATTATTTTAATTAATTTTAGTTTAATTTGATTTAATTTTGTGCATTTTTATATCACTAATTTATATTTAATTAATTTTTTTCATTCATTTTTATTTGGCTAATTTTTTTTTATTAATTTTAATTTGATCTCTTTTAATCAATTTTGCTTTTATTTTTATTCAATATAATTTTTATTCTATTGTTTTTATTTCAAGGTAATTTTTCATTGTATTTTACTTTATCTTATTTTAGTTTATTATAATTTTTAATCTATTTTATTTTTTGATTTTATTTAATTTTTCCATTTATTTTTTCTTTAATTAAGTTTACTTTATTTTATTTATTTTTTATTTCATTTTATTTTATTTTATTTTATTTCACTTTAATTTATTTAAATTTATTTTATTTAACTTTATTTATATTATTTTTTTCATTCACATTTACTTTTATTTTAGTTTGTTTTATTTTCTGTGCTTAATTTAATATTATTTTTTGTTAATTTTTTGCATTTTTTTTGTATTCTTAATTATTTTTATTACGCAATTTTGTTTATTTTTTATTTTATATTTTTTATATTTGGTTAATATCAACTGAACGCAGATTGCAGCGAACCATAAAAAATCTGCTGGCCTACCAGTACGTAAGCCTGTCCACACCGGTTTAATTATGACATAATATCGAAGCTTAGCGGAAGCGCCAGTTAACATTATTTTCTCGCAGAATTACATGTCTACATACACGTACATACATATTGAATTTGTCATATCGCAAAGTAGTTGTAAAACTGATTACAAAGCATGATTAGCACAGAGCAACAAACACCAATGCATACATACACTTATGAGTGAATGTGTGTGTGTGTGCACATATGATTGCGGCAATTGTAATTGCGAATGAGAATGAGCTTTATGCGGTTCGGTTAGTAGTAAACTATCTATTCGAGTATTTCTTAAGCTTTAAGTCTTGCTGCTGAATTACGACGCGACAGAGGCATAAAGTGGGCAGTTGAGAGATGTGAGGATATATGTACGTGTAAACATATACGTATGTTTAAAGTAAAATGCCTCTAGCGCCAGCAGCATTTTTTACAGCAAAAACAATCACAACAACAACTTACGAACACACGTTGCTTATGACTTGGCCTTATCGCCAGGCAGCTTATTATTTATGTTCATGTGTGCGATAAGAAAAAGTGTTAACAAACACATGCAGCAGCAGCATTAGTGGTAGTAGTAGTCATAATAGCAACAAAATGAATAAGAAGTAAGGAACATTAAGTCAGAATGGTGCCGAAAATTAGTTAGGTGATTGGTATTTATGAAGAGACTGGCAGTGAAGGTGTGAAATTCCATCCAATTCCAGGATAAGTTTTGATTAAGAAATAGACATCGCTTGGCTTATTCCTAAGCTGAGTTCTACAGCGCCGCCGGAATTATCAGAGAGAGTCATCGAAGTTACATCTTTGGAACCTCAAAATCTTTAAAAAAAAGTTCAAAAAGAAAAAAAAAATAAATATATATATACATATATTAAATTTGGTTTGAGCTTCGGTCAGGTCAATGACTGAAAATATATTTTTATATACTGGAAATCTTTCTTTGAGAATGCACTTGATTTTTTTAACTTTGTTGAGTAAAAGTTACAGTCCGATTACACCCTGCAAGTGGCTTCGATTGGATCATGAGTAAGACAGTACCCGACGGAAAGGTTGGGATTGGCGAAATGTGGCGACCGGTGGACGGAAATGAGCGTGAATATTAGGGACAATGAACGAAAACTCACAAAACATCTCTCAACAAAAGTCTCTCAGTCAAAGTCTTTCATAAAAATACCAATTTGAGTGCCACGAAGTCAGCCAAATCAACCATTCCGATCTATGGTTATTCAAACCAGTTTGAATGTATAAGATTTGCTAGCAACCCGAACACAACTATGTGCGATCTCTGGGTTCATATCCAAATCACTTCGATTTTTGTCGCTCTGTCGGTGATTCTTTCCCCGTAAAGTAATTAGAGCAAATCGAACTTGATTCCAGGTCTTTGGTCCATTTCCAGGAAACAAAAGTATTCGATTTAGGTGTATTATCCACAAATTTAATCAAATCAATCAATAGATCGATTCGTCTTCCTTAAAAAATTTCAGTAGCAATCTGTTTGTTAATTTGAGGGGCCATAGGTCTTGTAGTTCAAAAAAAGCTTATTTTCTCTAATTTTTTTAAAAGATACTAAATAAAGTGTACAATTTATTTTGTTTACATATAAACAATACAGTATGTGGGCAATATTTGATGAGAATTTTAATGAAAAATAGTATAAGTTAAGGCGTTGGCAGTGTCGTGAAGTAAACCGTCCACAAGAAAGTGCCTTCGCGGTAGTCATGATAACTTTTTCAATTTTAATCCAAAAGCAAAAATCCAAATATTTTCTTAAAGTAGGTGAATTTTTCTTGTCCCTGAACGAAGAAAAATTAAAAATATAAAAATGTAATTATTTTGTTGCGTTTTTTACAAAAAAAAACGTCATTTTTTGCATAAAATAAGGCCACATATAGGCTTGCAAAATGAGTTGAAATCAAAGATAAAGTAATTTTTCGTTCAGGGACTAAAAAACCGCGCTTAAAAGAAATGTGAGAAATTTCGACTATCGATTTCGATAAAGTGGTTTTAAGAAAAGCGCGTTTAAAGTTTTGTCATTGGTTAAGCCATGACAAAGACGGCGGGCTATAAAAATCTCTAATTTCTACAGTTTCGTCTCAATCGACTTGAAACTTGGGGAAAATATTCCTGAAACTTTGTACTTTTATACAAAAAACTATCAAAAAAAATGAATTTTTTGAAGTTTGAAAACCAATGTAACCCCTTGAGCAAAAAGCCGCCTTCAAACCGAACTTAAAGTAAACCCAACGATAAACTCTTTTTTTGGCAGTCCCTGTTCCACTTTCCGAAATTTTCGTATAAACCTCTCCGGAAACTTTGGAAAGAGTCTAACAAAGTTTCAAAAAGTGGATAACTATAACATAACAAACACAGACATATCGATCGAAGGAAACTCTTTTCTTAAATATTATTAATAAAATAAATTAAATTGTTTATTAGCTAAAATTACATGTAACAATATATATTTTACAAAAAATTGCTGATAACAAAATTGCAACGTTTCCTGCTCGTTTGTTTAGGTTAGTTTTTCGCTTTGAAAGTTTTAGTTTTATTATTACATATTTATTTCCATTAAAAAATAAATAAATAAATAAATAAACTTAAATAAATATTTCTGTGGAAATATTTGTGTGAAAAAAAGAGATAATTAAATTTTTTTGTTAATTTTCTTAATAAAACATCAAAAAACGAATAAAATATTAAACATTATTAATAATATGATTATTCTTTAAATTCAATTCATGTAAGTTTCGTATTAATTTCAGAAAATTCTGAAAACTTTCTCGACTAGCTTATGTCCATTTTCTCAAGTTCGGACAGAAACCCGTAAATTATGTCACCATAATATTTATGACGTATTTTAGCATTTCTTTCCACCATATGTTTCGATTTTATGCTCAAGAAATCAAATATTTCCGAGAAAGCCATTCGTTTCGTTTAGGTCGCTCGTTTACATTTCTTGCTTCACAAGTATTTTCCTTATCGTAGTGTTGCCAACTACTTACACTTATAACAAATATGATTTAATTGTTCACAAAATTATGTTTCTCTAACAGCACTCTAGAGTATGGTTCTATATTTATAAAGAAATTTAAAAGAAAATGTATATAATAAAAAAAAAATAATCAAAAGGGAAATTGTTCAAAAAGAGATATTTTTTATTACCTAACCTTCAATAACAAGACACTCAAAAATGATTGCTCTCAAAATTATGCAGTGTTTTTAAGCGCAAAGGACGCGAAAAGTAAGGTTCAAAACCAATGATTAGGAAAGTGAGTGAGAGAAAGTGAATTAGAGAGATATAGAAAGAGAGTGTGAGATATAGGCAGCCATGAGAGATACAGACAAAGTAGTAGAGATAGAAACAGAGCAAAAATATTCGCTACGATTTAGTACATTAACAATCAGAGCTGGACGTTTGCGAGAAAGGGATAAAACTATTTCCTTTATATTTTACTATATCAGCGAACGCATTTTCAGCATTTTCATATTGAGATAATGTCCTTTCTTGAGTGCTAAAATTTGTATTAAATTTTTCAATGGAATTTGGCAAAAACAAGTTTTTATATGATATACCTGCAAGTAGCCTTCGCTTCTACGCAAGCAATTCTCGTATGTAGCCTCTCAGTCCTTTCAACTCAGTGTGCGGTTTGCGCTCACATATTTCGTTTCGAAAAAATTGCTTGCCTATAAATTTTGACTCAAAAATTTAAATGCCTACCTGGCTATGACAGGCATGGAAATTTTCCATCCTCACAACCATACTGGCAAAAAGGATGATAGCTCGTGCTCGTGAGCATGACAAGCCATTCATTGTCACATAAGTGTTACTCTAGGTCAGACTACAAAGTGTTGGAATTGTGAAAATTAAAAAAAAAAAAAAAAAAATGGAGCAAGTGCTGTCTAATAAAAATGACAAGTCGTCTAACGGAAATGGCGTCTTAGTGCAATGTATACAAGTGACATATAAAAAAGTAAGTATTTTACTTTATAAAAAATTTTCTCTTTAATGTATGCATAATTAAAATTAATTTTTTTTAATTTTTTAGACACCGGTGTATTCTCTACGTCAATATTTTCGACAATTTGGCGCCTTCCGAAATTTCGAAACAGCATATGACCTTAACCCACAACAACTTGAACCGATCAAGAGACTCCTTATAACATACGTTGAACAAGAGGCAGCCCGCCGGTAAGTTAAAGTGAAAAAAATTATTCTAAAATAAAAAAAAAAATAATATATAAATATATATATACTTGCATCGTAATATTTGCTTCGCAGAATATTATACTATACTTAAAAAAGCTTTTTCTCTTTCCTACACACGCACAACTCTGGCTGTTTGCGCAAATCATAGCGAATATGTGCGCTCCCTTTCTGCCTATCTCTATTTCAATTTCACTCACGCTCTTTCCATATCTCCATAACCGCTCTCGTCCCACTCTTTTTGAACCTTACTTTGCGCGACCTTTGACCTTAGACCTGCTACATAATACAGGGTTCGCCAATAAGAGGTTTTAGTTTGATATTCAAAGAAAAATTAAATTTTTTGAGTTAAATTATTGAATGTTTCTATCAATGTAAAGAGAAAGATATGCCATTAAGAGGTTACATAGGTCTTGAAGGCCAGAAAAAACCTTATTTTCTCTATTTTTTTAAAGATACTAAATAAAGTATACAATTTATTTTGTTTACATATGAAAGTACAAAATGTGGACAACATTTGATTGAAATTTGAATGAAAATAGTATAAGTTAAGGCGTTGGCAGTGTCGTGAAGTAGACCGTCCCCAAGAGAGTGCTTTCGCGGTAGTTATGACAACTTTTTCAATTTTTATCTCAAATCAAAAATCTAATTTTTTCTTAAAACAAGTGAATTTTTCTTATCCCTGAATGAAGAAAAATCAAAATTTAAAAAATTGAATTTTTTGTAGCGAATTTTACGTTTTTTTTTTTTTCATAAAATTAGGCCACATATGGGCTTGCAAAATGAGTTGAAATCTAAGATAAAATAAATTCTTTGTTCATGGACTACAAAAACATGCTTAAAAGGATTTTGAAAATTCTCTCGAACTCGATCGTTTCAATAGGCGTTGAGAAATTTGGTTTGGTGATTTTTGGAAAAACGCGTTTAAAGTTTCGCCATCGGCTAAGCCATGACAAAGACGGCGGGCTATAAAAATCTCTAATTTCTACAGTTTCGTCTCGATCGACTTGAAACTTGAAAATATTCCTGACACTTTGTACTTTTATACGAAAAATGATCAAAAAAATGAATTTTTTGTAACCTCTTAATAATGGAAAACAATATCAAATGGCTGCCAGGAAACATATTGAGGTTGGCGAGGCTTTTCAAACAAAAAATATTGAGTTTTCCTAGTCTTAGATGTGCCCTCGAAATGTAAATGCGCCTCATCAGTCAAGATGATTTTTCGATGAAATTTCGTATTATTTTCACTCATTTCAAGAGCTCAATCAGCAAATACACGACGTTGTTGCTGATCACCCGGCTGGAGTTCTTGTGTTAACTGAACTTTATAAGCGTTCAGATCCAAGTCTTTATGCGAAATATGCTGTAATAATTTATAAAAAATGTTTTTATTTTCAATTTGAAATTATTATTATTTTTAATTTTTTTATATGTACTTACATTCTGTTTTTAATTCCTAATTTTTTTCTTTTTATACAAATTTCCTTTTTATTCTCTAGAGTTTTGCTAAACGAATCTCATTTTGTGGAAAACGAGATTGTTAATGTTAAAAGTACAAATAGTCGGCAAGAACTCGTTAAGGAAAATGTGTGTGAAACAGAGCGTGAAAATTTGGAAATCGCTCACACTAGGGAAAAAGCCTTCAACATTTTACAATTGCCTGAATTTTGCATTCATGCTATACTCGAGCGGATGGCACCAGGTGATCAAATACGTTTCGTGCAGTCACACAGAAGTTTTCAAACGATCTTTGAAACGTTTTCTCGACGCAAATATAAAAAGTTTATATGGAATAAAACACAAAGTATGACTATGGGTGAAATACGTGATTTCTTGAGCATAGCAGGCAAATATATGGTGGAATTGAATGGTGAAATACGTAATAGATATTATGATGACGTAATGAATCTATTAATCGTTTACTGTCCAAATTTCGAAAAAGTTACGCTCTCAGACATATATATTAATCCAGATAGTTTTCGGAATTTTTTGAGAGGGTTGCCAAATTTACGGGAATTAAATTTGACGTATTATCAATTAGATGAGAGGGCATTTGCAGCACTGAGGGACGCTAAAAAACTGCGTGTGCTGAAATTGTCCAATATGTTCCACATAAGAGGTGAGTACAACTTATATAATAATAATTTTTGATATTTAGCTTGGGAAATTAAACAAAAAAAAATATTTTTTTATTTTTTTAAATTTAGCACTAATAAAGAAAAAATTGAAACTAAATGAAAAAAAAAATAAAAAAATATGACATGAAAAAAAAAATAAAAAAATTTGAGAAAATAATAATTCACTACTTAATTTATTAATTAATTCTCTTATATAAAAATCGCATATAATTTTATATTTTAAAATTAATTTTTTCTACACACAGGCAAACATCTTCAAACACTGACGCAACTGGAGCATCTCTCTCTGCACCACTGTTGGTTGGTTCGAAGTAAACATTTAATTAAACTCTGTGAGGCGTTGGTAAACTTACGCACACTAGACATACGTGGCATACACTACGCATCACCCTGTTTTTTCCAAGTAATCGACACACATTGCAAGCGACTCGAGGTGTTGAAGATGTGCGCACCGGAATTTAATTACGATCGTGTGGCATTATTGCCACGCCTCAAACATCTCGAAATCAAATATCCCACACCCGTTGATAGGTTGACAATAATCTCACATTTGGCTCAACACAAGGCGGATCAACTCGAAGTACTGAAAATATACACCAGAAAATGCCTAACCGACAAAGACGTCACAAGTTTATCAGAATTACGTGAGTTGAGAGAACTTTCCATCGCTTTTAATCGGGATACCGTGACCAATGGCGCTTTAGCGAAATTGTGTAAGTTGAAGCAGCTGGAAGAGTTGACAATCGCCGCTTGCGACGAGGTGACCGATGATGGACTGTTGAAGTTGGTAAAAAATTGTGAGAAACTGAGCACACTAAATATACAATATTGTAATAGAATTACAAATGATTTTGTGACGGACGTCGCTTCATTGGCACGACATCGTTATAGAAAATTAACAATTTACACGTTTGGCACGGCGGTGGACAAGAAAAAGTTAATACAGCTTCCAAAGTATAAGGAGGCGGCTGAGCGTTTTGGTTTAAATATTGAGTTTGAGTTTTCAAAAACAGGATTATCGGATTATGAATATGTTTTTACACTTTTTGAAAATGAGTTGCTTGAACGTCGACTCATTGCAAGAGGGTTATAGAAGCAGATACGTGTATATACATATGTTTGTATGTAAAAACTAAAAAAAAAAATATTAAATTTCTTTTGGGTGGAATATATAATTAGAATTGTACAACACTATTCTTTTATGTATACATATATATTTTTAATAAAGGGTCATTCATTAGCGTCTGACAACTTCAAACTGCCACTTCAAACGCGCCCTTAATCCGATTGCCAAATTTTTAATGTCACATTTTATCATTGTGAACGAACGTTTAAAAATAAATAAAATTTACTACCGAAATTCCTTTACTTAAACAAGAGTTAAGACCAATTTTTATCACAGCAAATTTCTGGTCAAACGGACTGGTACTAAACCGGTTAGAACCCTCATGTACTTCATGGAAAATCGCTTCCTTAAGAAAAAATCACTGTTTGGTGCAGTGCCGGTGCCGTCATTGGTTAGTTTTTTTTTCGTCGGTGAAACTGGACAGGACGGTGACACAAGCCACACATCGGGTGCAACAATCGAGTTTTTGAAGTGTCAGTTCGGTGAAAGTGTCTTCTCGAAACATGCCACCGAAATCGCGTGACCTAGCACCTCTAGACTTTTTTTTAATGCGCTTACATTAAATCTATTGTCTATGCCAACAAGCTGGCGAGACAGTCGAAGAAGTGTTTCCGACGAATTCGTCTCGCGCAGATATCAACGCTGGCCATTAACAGAAGTAGTGCACAATATACTCTTCCTCTTCTTTGTCCCTACAGCTTTGGTAAAAATCCTACCTTTCACGGAAAACCTTATTTTACAATACCTCGTTAGCTGATCGAAGGACAAGATGTTTTGATTATTTCGCTTCGTCTCGTTGCACGTGATCTCCTTCAACCATTTAGCGTCTGTTTCTTTGACAAAGACGAGGTTAAATAATTACTTTGCCGTGAACAAAGATGAACCTACGTCGTGTTCATGTTTTATTGTACAATAGATAGAAGAGTTCTTTCTTTTTTTGAGCAGCCAATCGGCGGCTTCCATGATTGCTGAAGAACGCTGCAATGGCCATAATCATTGACACATTTCCATTGAGCTTTGAGCCGCCCGTAAAGATGGCTAGGGCTATCTGATCGGTATTTTCGTGGAAAAAAATTGCCAAAGTACATACTAGAGATGGTGTAGTCCTCTCCTTCGGCAGACAAATTTGCAAGAGGTAATATTTTTGCGTGTTCTTTAATGCAATTCTTCCAAGGTTGAGTAGCATTCAATGAAATTGCGCTGCAGCTCGCTTGTAATTTCCCGTATAGGTCTACAGCAATTACTTTGAACAAAAGCTTTTCAGGGAGTTGACGGTAGTGTTCATGTTACCAGGATAGCAGCTGAGCTCTGAATTTTCCTTAATTTGCTCTTGAAAGTAATTTTGTCGAGTACCGGCCACCATACAGTGACGACGTAAAGTGGGATTGGTCAAACTACGGATATATAAATCCGGTACGCGATATTCGGTTTTGGAGTCCATCTTTTTCTATTGCCGGTTTTTTTTTTGTTTTTGATAAACTGCTCTCCATTCACCGTTCTCCGCATCCTCAGTCCTAGCATTGTCTAGCCCACCAACTAGTATAAGTAGTACAATGTGATGGTGTGGATGCGTCTGTATTCTGTTCATAGTAACAGCTCGTAATTATCGTAATCGTAGCCATCTTCAGGGTACATCCGCTGTCCCCTTATTATTACGAAAAACATTAAGACTCACAGCACAAATTTAAGAAGAAGCTCGTCTCATACTAACTACAGCCGCCTCTCAGCAGAAAATGCCAATACCATCGTGTGTAAGCTAGAATTGAACAAACAAAATTTCCACATTTGGGACAAAGAGCAATATAAAGAGATGCAAGAGCTACAAGAGCTGCCTTTTCATGCAGGAATAACAACAGTGTTTTTTCGAAAATAATGCCGATGAGAACGTAACCGTCAATGGTGTACGATATTGCGGCATGATAATATTTGATACCTAAAATTGAAGCTTGTGAACTCGGTGACATTTGATTACAACAAGACAACGCCACTTCACACATATCGCATCAATCTATGGATTTATTGAGAGAACACTTTGGTGAGCAGATAATTTCACGTTTTGGGCCGTTCGATTGGTCACCAAGATCGTGTGATATGTAAAGTCTTAAGCCTATGCGGGCAATACCGCTTCGATTCAGGCTGTGGAGCAAAACATAACGCTTGTCGTTAGCCAGTTACCAGTCAAAATTCTCGAACGAGTCATTGAAAATTGAACTCAACGGATGCTCTATCTGAGACGTAGCTGCGGCCAATATTAAAAAGAGATCATCTTCATATTAAAATAAATAACAAAGAATGTTCTTTCGGAAGATAATAAATATTTCCCATTAGATTTGAAGTTTCTGTCTTTTTTGTTTGGAAAAAATAGGGAACCGCGACATGGATCACATTTTGTGTGTAAGACCATTGACAGGACGTGTGATGTAGGTCGCTTAAAAGTAGATCTTGCTATATTTTGTTCCAAGTCCAATATCGAGAAGTGGGCAATGGTATTTTCCTACCTTTTTCAATGTAACTCAAGAATGGACGGGGGATGGAATTACAGACATAGCTACATTCAATTCGTCTCGTCATTCCGTGAAGTTGGATATACATTTGTCTATACCTTAGGCAATTATTTCCGGTTGTAACAAAAAAACCGTTAGGGGGAAAAAATCCCAAAACCCTTACAAACATAGTAAAGTTGGGTATAAGAAACAACAAAAATATATAAATGCATCTGCAATTGAAAACATATACGTACACATACGTATATAAATACATATGTACATATATACATACAAGCACACACACACATATATATATATATATATGCTAAATACAAACAAATATACAATCATATTAACACTTGTGTCATAGCAAATATTGTTGTTGTCGTTATTTATACTAATGTTGTTATTGTTAAACAGCTTAACAGCAATACCGGCAGCAATTAGAACGCTCATTAGAGAAACGCAACTGTGGCCATACGATAAATTACCATCAGTTGTTGCAATAACAGCAACAGCAACAGCAACACCAGCAGCAACAGCAACAGCAACAACAACAATAACTGGGCGAAATAAGAGCAGCAATAATACACTCACCTCAGTCAAGTTGTCAGTTGATTACATACATATGTTTATGCATACATACATACATACACACATACATGCATACATATAAGCCACAGCCAGTTGGCGTAAACAGTAGTCAGCATTTGTGCAACAACTAAAACTACATGTTGTTTTTGCTGCTGCTGCCGCTGCTGTTGCAGTGACTATTTTGGCGACAGACTGACTGCCTGACTGACTGAATGACTGTGTTGCTGCTGCATTGATGGTAGTTGGGCGCGCTGGTAAAGTGATTAAGTGCGATTTGTGTTTGCACCACACACTGTTGTTTTTGTTGTTGTTGTTTTGTTGTTGTGCTGATGGTCGCATCGAGAAGCAATCCAATAAATTTGGTTACTTTAACTTTGTTCCTCTATGTACTCTCTTGTTGTAAAGTCCTCTCGCGACAAACAAGCTCCAAACTGTTCAAGACATTCAAAACATCCGAGGAGAACACTTGAGATATAGTCTTTTGGGTAGCGGCTCCAAGTATTTACCCTCGCTAGGGCATGTTTGCCGTAAGAGGTGGCTAAAATCAATAAGTTCCAGCGACTGTAATTTTTTGCTGGCCAAATTATGTCGTCCGAGATGAAGAGAAAAAAAGACAGGTGCAGCCATTCGAAAATGTTGGCAATATGCATTTGGTTCCACAAGACTTAGGATAGTCCACTTGTCAAAAATTAATTTCAGCTTTTGTCGAAAGATGGCTCGCGCAAAGACTTGTTTTCTTGGAGCCACCAGCAGCTTCCGAGTGCTAAGAGAAATTAGCAGACTAGATATTTAGCTTGAAGCACGAAAGGTTTTTGTATGAACCAAGCTGGAAGCCGGAAGATCTTTTAATGCTTCGCTGTACCGCCTGATTGATATTGCAAACTTTAAAGCTCTGTTCTCCGTTCATCTCTTGGCTTATACATGGCTCATAACTCAGCTTTAGAATCATTTTCCACAGAAAAGACCATAGATCTTGGAACATAATCAGAATTGGAATCGCCAATAAGTGATCGCAAGGCCAGTATCAACGTGAGGGTTATGTGTTGGTTAATCTGCTAACCAGAAACCCTCTCATTATTTTCATTGCCTCGAACCATTAAATGAGACAAATAAAATTCGACCCAACACAAGCTCTACTGCCTCCTTACTTCTTGTTGTTGTATGTCATTAATATTGTTGGTACGACTAACAGTGGCTGGCCAAAAGTGGCAGTGCTTCTTACAACTTCGTCGTACATTTATTGATGCCCAAGCCATGGCAATTGTGGAGAATTTCATGTGAAGTTGTGGCGCTCGACTATATTGACATTCTCACTGATATACCCCAATACACATACACACACACACACATACACACACACACATGCACCCAGAGGCAAACCCCTGGAATACTCCCATGGCAGTTTGTTTACTATCCTGATGCCAGCAATAGCAGCTGCGCTATTAAAATGTCGCTTAGAAGAATGGAGCAACAACCTCCCGGCTTTCTTGCTGTCAGCTTGTAAATGCATACATACACACTCGTATGGGCAATGCTTGTTGCAACGTGCGCTTGTTTTTTTGCTGTCACAGCATTTTCGCTATTGGCAGTTTGTTATTATGAACAATTGTTGAATTTGTTGTTGCTGCTGCTGCTGCTGTAATGCTAACTATTCACTATCGCTGGCTGGTTAATGTTACAGCGAATATTGAATTTTGAAAGTCCAGTTGTTGCATTGTTGTCCTCTTGCAACTTTTTTCCTGCATCACTCGCTGGCTTCGGCAAATGATGGAATGTCTCTGGTGGCTGCACAGTGGTAGTGTAAAGCGACCGTAGATTGCAAGACAGTTTCATGAATTTTCTTATGTTCGAATGTGGTACTATAGAGAGGAAAATTTGTTAATCCAAGGGGATCAACTTCAGGCTTTTTAGAGACGGCTCGTTTTCCGAAGATAACCGCTTTGCCCACCTTGGCATAATTGTGACATCGTGGCGAATGGAGCGCTTGTACAGGTAGATGCGTTCTTGACGCTCATTGAAAGAACCTTTGAACACATTGTCCATCTCTTTCCTCTGTACGTGAGCGTGAATTAGCGAAAAGTCGATGAAGTTCGATTTTATGTTGGGCGAATGATAGTCTTCACCGACAAAGTCTAACTCCCTCCACAAATCCAACACCAAATTTGCGC